TTATCTTTGGTTAACCTTTCTGAGGTTTGGTGATTTTTATTTCTCATTTTTATTAAAGAGCACTGAGCACACGTAATGAACCTGTTCCTGTAGCCAGTGGCCGAGGCGGTTGGCGTGTGCGTTTTATGTGATTTCCTTTCTGTCCTCAGCACTTGGAATAAGCAAATATGTGCCTTAAGCAGAATGGTGCACATCTGTCAGCAGGGGAGGTGGGATCAGAAAGCAAAGGAGTTCTTTCCCAGAGGGGCTTGGGGCTCAAGGACATTTGGTTCAGAAGAAGAATCAGAGATGCTGGCGCCCTGGTCTCCTCCAGGTTGGGCAGCCAGCCTGGGAGCAAGAAACCAGAGATCCTCCTTGGGAAAGGGCTTTCCCACCACGCGCTGAGCGACTCTGCTCCTCTCATTCCTTCTGGGAGCAAGGGTGTCCTCTGCCTTTAATCTACCCGCTTCCCTGGGTCTGCAGTTGCTCTGAAGTACACAGCTGAAACCATTGTAATAACTTAATTTTTCATATGCACAGTAAAGCTTGTGCACACATTAAAAAGTTTATTTTCTTCTCCCAAAAGAGGTATATGTCCTGGGGCAGAGGCGGAGGGTGCGGAGGTCATCACAGAGGCCAGTCCTAGAGTGCAATCTCAGAATACTAGCTAGGCACTTTGCATGGTATTCTTGTTCGCCTTACCTCATTTCATGGTCACCATAGCTGGCAGAGTGGTGGAGGTGACAGTATTCACCTGCCTACAGAGGACGTGGGTAAGTTCTGGTTGTGGATGAGGTACCAGGGAGGACAGAACAAAGCTGGCATTTGCACCCCCTGCTTCTCCCGTGTTGTGCTAACCACTGCCGGCTCGGCAGCAGAGCTCCCTGAGGGCCGCTGCACGCAGTGATTGAATTCCCGCTCGTTCCCCCCAGCCCAGGGATCTGGCAGGACCCCCGCAGGCGGTCGGGCAGAGAGCTGCTCACACAGCCTGCGGGAGGCGGGAGCAGCTAGGCCGAGGGCCGGGAGACAGCCATGCCGTCCTGCGCACGTCAGCCCAGGAGGTTGGCTGACGTCAGCTCTGAAGAGTAATTGCTTTTTTTGGCTGGCTAACAAAAGGAAAGTTACTATGACGGAGGACTTTCTAGGAGCCCTGCTAAACGTGGAGAGGAGAGCAGAGCAGAGCGAGGCCTGCACCCAGCCCGGGTGATGGCGTCCTGGCCTTTAAGCGGGCTAAGTGCAGGCACTCATACCCTTGCCAGCCTCTTCTGCAGGTTGTAGAAACAAGGGAAATCATTCTTTCAAGAAACTGGAGGCACAAAGAAATAGAGATGGGGAATATTTTTGTTCAGATGTTTAGGTGAGAAAAGGCTGGTGTCCAGACTGGCTGGTCAGCCTTCCTCCCCAGGACACGTAAAGCTGCTCAGAGGCCCGGAGGGAGCTTTCCACGTGGGGCTGCTGCGTGCTGTTGAAAACAAGGGCAGGAGCTCGGCAAACAACGTGGCCCTGTCCTTCCAAAGGGCACACCCTTTCCTTCTAGGGCGCACCCCTATATAAAGGAAAAAGCAGGAGGGCCCAGGAGCCCGTAGGCTCAGTTAGAATCATTACTGAGAAGTGCTTAGACGCACCCCACTAAAGCAGCATGCCTGAGACATTGGCGTACTCTTGATCATTGAACTTTGTCATCCCAGAGCTGTCTAGTCCCCCGCTAGGTGTAAGGAACTGCTTCTCTCTCACCCCTGCAGCCATTTATGGTGGACAGATGTAAGTTGGTGGCATGTTTTTGGAAGTAAAGCATTTCGGCCAACAACTGCACGTCCTCAATCTGAAAACCGGCCTGTCATCTTTATTTGGCACAGGACACATAAAAAAACAAAAGCAAACACGTGTCCAGGAACTGAGCTGAACACAACAAAAAGGAAACATGAGATATGTTTGGTAGCTTCACACGCGTGGAAGGCTGGAAGCCCTCGCGGTGTGGGGATGAACAGTCGTTGTGGAAGCTGAGCAGCGGGCATAGGGAGGTTCCGTACACCGTCCTCGCCACTGTCCTGTGTTTGACAGTCTCCGGGACAAATACTTTTAAGTCCAAGGAAATGGTATCTGCTTTGTAAACGTAGAAGTGAAACATAAAAAGCCAGAAATATTTCTGAACGATTTGGAGGCAGTTTTTATTGGATAGAAATCATAATATAAATCAGGAAGCTGCCTCTGCATCTCTTAGCTAACAAGATGGGAAACTGGTAACCTCGTCAAGAAGTCCTGCCCTTCCCCTCTCTCAGATGGAATCGTTCCCACTCCTGGCACCTAACATAGAGCAGACTTTAATACGTCCTTCAGGAGCACATTTCTTTGTATATACACAACATAAAAATAGAGGAACAGAGTATAATAGATGCTCAAACATTTACTGCACCTTGATTATATATGCCAGACACTGTAATAAGCCCTCCTGGTAGAGGCCGCTGACATTAAAGAGCTCACATTCCAGGAGGGGAGACAGACCCATAAGGAAAGCAAAGCCCAGTGTGATTACTAAACAGTGGGACTCATTAAGCTGCACAGCCAGTGTGGCGGGAGAAGGCTATGAATTGTGGCTTCTTTGTGGTAGGGGAAATAGTCCCCTGCAGGTAGTGGCGTCCCAGTGGGGCTTGGAGGAGGAATGGCAGCGCGCCGCAGGGCTCTTGCCCAGGGCAGTGGCTAAGCCAGCGTGGTGGGCTCCTGACGCTGGGTTTGCTGACCTGGACCATAAAGTAATTGGGTCGGTTGTGGAAGGAACTAAAGCTGAAGAGTCTGGGCAGGAGAGACTTCGTGTATCAGGCTAAGGAGTTTGAGCTTTATCTCGGGTTAGAGGGCAGTGTGGTCACAATCGTCACTCTGAATTCTGACTTTAAATGGTGACTTGGGGCCGGGTGCGACGGCTCACACCTGTAATCCTAGCACTCTGAGGGGCCAAGGCGGGTGGATCGCTCAAGGTCAGGAGTTCGAGACCAGCCTGAGCAAGAGCGAGACCCCGTCTCTACTAAAAATAGAAAGAAATTATCTGAACAACTAAAAATATATATATAAAAAAAATTAGCCGGGCATGATGGCGCATGCCTGTAGTCCCAGCTACTCGGGAGGCTGAGGCAGGAGGATCACTTGAGCCCAGGAGTTTGAGGTTGCTGTGAGCTAGGCTGACACCACGGCACTCACTCTAGCCCAGGCAACAGAGTGAGACTCTGTCTCAAAAAAAAAAAAAAAAAAACATAAATGGTGACTTGACCTGTGTTTGTCTATTCCTGTGCTCAAGCTTACTTGTCAGTTATGATATTTTCAGTTATAAGTATCAGAAAACTCAATTCAAAATTCAGCCCAACGTGAATGAACCTGGAAGAACATTGTGCTAAGCGAATAAGCCAGTCACAGAAGGACAAACACTGCGTGATTCCACTGAGACGCGGTCCCGAGAGTAGTCAGATTCGTAGTGACGGAAAGTAGAAGGATGGTTGCCAGGGACTGAGGGGAGGAAAGAGTGGGCAGTTCGTGTTTCCTGGGAGTGGAGTCTAAGCTTCGCAAGATGAAGAGTCCTGTGGGTGGACGATGGTGATGGCTGCGCCACAGCGTGAATATGCTTGATAACAATGAGCTATACACTGAACATGGTTAAAATGGTAAACTTTATGTTACATATGTTTTACCACAATAAGAAATATAATTTGGTCTCTTCCAGGTTCCTGACACAGAGCTCCTAAAACCCTTGTAATTTCCTAAGTTATAGGAGTTCTTAGGAGCATCTTTTGTTCTAATAAGGCAACTCTCAGTGGCTCCTCCATGGGGCCGGGTCACCAGAGGACCAAGCCAGGACTAGAAGCTTAGAACTCTCAGCGCTCTGGGAGGGAGAGGCTGGAGATTGAGTTATGCCCACATGGTGAAGCCGCCATGAAAATCCCTAAAAGACAGGGTTCAGAGAGCTTCTGGTATGGCAAACACGTCCACGTGCAGGAGGGTGGTGCCCCCATCTTAGTGGGGACAGAAGCTCCTGTGCTCAGGACCCTTCCGGACCCCAGCTTAGGCACCTCTTAACCTGGCTGTCATTTGTGTCCTTTATCAGATCTTTCATAAACTGGTAAACTAAGTAAATGTAGCCCTGAGTTCTGTGAGCCATTATGGCTAATTACGGAACCAAGGAGGGGATTGTAGGAACCCCCAGTTTGTAGCCAAGTCTGACAAAAGTTGTGGGTAGCCTGGGGACCTGCTACTTCAATTGGCATCTGAAGTCGGGGCGGTCTTGTGGACTTGAGCTCATAACCCGTGGCGGTCTGCGCTAACTTCGAGCCGTCGGTGTCAGGATTGAATTAAATTGTAGGATACCTGCTCGGTGTCCACAGGGAACTGGAGCATCGCTTGATGTGCAAAACCCCCACTTTCTCTTCAACAAACCGCACGTTTCGTGAGCTGGGGCCATTCCAGCAAAACTTCTCTGACACCAACTTATGAGGAAAAAACTCTTTTCCTATTAGCCCTTCCATAGCCTCCGCACTTCTGACCCTGACTGCGTTAGTTCCACGTCCCCTCAGTGCACGGAGAGACCGCCCTCCCCGCCTGTCTCTTCGCACTGCAGGAGACCGCAGCGTCTGTGGCCTCATCTGGAGCATAGGCGTCTCGCACATTAAACCCCCTCTTCTCATTCACCCGAAGTGGGCTCCGTGCTGCCAGTAGGGTCATAAGTCTGCAGGCTCTGGAACAGCGTGCACACTTGCCGTTGTCTACGAATACGTGTGCCAAACACCACGAGCTTACGTTAGAAATCAAGGAAAGAGACGTATTTCTCTCTACGCAGCAGTTTCTATATTTTAATGCAGCTTGAATACAAAGTAATAAAAGTGTTCCAGACTTACTAAACTGAGGCTCTGTGTGGAAGAGAATTTGGTCTGTGAGTGAGGGGGGCGAGGGTGTACGGTTGACAGAAGCACTTGCTGACTTTTGAGAGTCGCTGAAGTTACACTGATTGGACACCCTTGTTTACTTTGCTTTCTCTGCAGGGGTCGGCACCAGGAATTATTATAGAAAGATTGGCTACAGGTTACAGGGCCCGTACATGGTAAAGATGCTGAGATAATGGCCACCCGGTCCACGTTTATGCAGCGTCCTCCCGGGCAGAGGACGGAGAGTCAGGACTCCTCAAGTTCTCAGCAGAGAGGCCGAACAGAGGAAATGGACGACAAGGGGCCTTCACCCTCATCCTTCCGCTGCAGAAACTGGAAACTACTTTCAAGGCGGGGCTGGACATCTGCTGACCAGGCCCCTGGGCCGCCCTCTCCTGTGTGTACCAAAAAAAAAGTCACTTCTGTTTGTTTGCAAGGCTTAAATCATTTATCCAATTTCTAAATTCTGCATGAGGCCCACAGGTGACCCATTTTGACTCACAGTGACAAAAGAAAATCAACTCATTTGGACACCATAACTCATGAAATAAAACTATGATTGTCATTTGAGGAGCAAACTTAGGAGTAGGTTATGTATGTACTCTAGCGACAAAAAGTCAGATTGGAGCATATGAGAACTGTCACACTCTGATCTCTGGCCTTTAACGACATACACATTGGCGCTCGAGTTAACAAAATGAGCGTTGTTGTAGTGAAAATCGTGCTGGCTACAGTGCTGACGTTCTGAAATAACTGTGACAGGGAGGAGGGATTGCGCTGGTGGCTGTGTGCAGGCCTGAGACACCCGGCTACCAGCCTTCCCCAGCCGGGACTCTGCTGTCCAAGACGGGCATGACACAGAGGCCTTATTTCACGTTTTTTATTGTCTGTCTTCCCCACACTCTCGGCCACTGCAGAGCAGCGCGGGCCGCCGCAGCGTGGAGCCCAGGAGGCGCCGGCTTTCCTGTCCACCCCGAGCAGGTGCCGTCTGACGCACGTGGCCCCAAGTCAAGACTCACTTCCACAAAAGCCATTCCCTGCATTTTAATTCTTTAGGGTGGGCTTTGGTTTGTATTAAATGGAAAAAAGTAAGAGGTCAACTCGTATGTGAAAGCAAAAAAGTGGAAAACAGGATTGGCTTCTTCGAAGGCTCATCTGGTAGATCTGCCTCTCTGGAGCTTCCAGGTGATCTACTTTGGCGACTTGGCCCTGAGAGTTTCACTTCCCAATGAAGGGCGAGGCTTACCTTCCGGCCCTTTGGCCGCTGTGGCATTTTATAAAGGTTGTTTAATGGAGTTGATTCCTCTAAAAGGGTCTGAAAATAAAGTCTTTAACATACAAAAGAAGAGTCATGTGGGTATTTTTCCTCTCCCAGTAAGCGCAGCGACATTGGCCATGCATTTGCAGGTTTCTGTTTCCAACCTATGACACTGCTCGTTTCCTGCGGGGTGCCACGTGCCGTCCCATTAAATTGCTGCAAGGCAGATGGCAGCAGCTTTCTCCTGGGCTGGCTGTGGGACTACCACAGCCTTCCACGAGTGTCATTTAGGGAATTTAGCTGCTTCTCAATTATGCTTTTTTTCTCCTATAAAAATAAAACTATTAAACTCATAAAGCGTACACCATCCGGGCTGTTGCACCCTCGTTACTGGAGAGGGAAGCAGCAGGCAGGGCCCAGGCTCACCCGCCTGCAGCATGGCCCTGGGGTGCACGGTGTCCGGGCCTGCATCTCCTCATCTGTCCTAGCCCCCCGCGTGGACCAAAGCACGTAACATACAAGAAAGTCCTTTGGGAAACAGTAAAAAAAGGCACGCACGTGTAAAGTCTACTTTAAAAAGATGACAATTGAAAGATTTCATAATAAAATGAAATTGCCTAGGAACTGGGCACCCTTCTAATGGTTATCAGCCCTCGTTTAACCCCGATTCTCACGTCAGGGTCCAGCACCCTCTTTCCAGCCCATCCGCCGCCTTCGCTGCCGTGGGTCCCTTGCGGCCTGTGTGAAGCTGCAGGAGTTGTGAAGCTTCGCCAGGCGTCAGGGCTTCTGCCACTAGAAGCTTCAGCTTCTCTCAACTGCCCAGGGCTCGTCCTGGCCCCCCACCCCCGCCCGGCGCCCTGTGCTCTCCGGCCACTGGCTGCCTCCACGAAAGACCAGCTGGGCACATCCTGGTGGCCTCAACGTGAAGCCATCACAGATGCAGCTGGAGTCTGGTCTGCGTGGAACGGCCCCTTAGCAACCACCCGGGGCCCAGGCAGGTAGCTCTGCCGTAGCCTGGCTTTGCCCGGTCACCTGAGGAGTTAACAAGAGAAAAAAGATCACGCCCTATCAAAACCAGACTGAAACGTACTTGAAGAGAAAATGAGATTTCAAAACTACGTTATCACCAAGTGAAAGGACCTGGTAATGCCCCGAGTTCCTCAAATTTGGGGCTGAATGAACCCCTTTCCCGTTTTCCATCACGACTGACCCCCAAAAACGCTGAAAAGTACGACAGGGCCACTGTGATGCCCAGTTGCAGTCAGTACTATTCCTGAAATGTCCGGGCCTCACACACCGCAGTCTGAATAGGACCCAGGAGCAGCCCAACATGGTGGCCCTGGTCTCGGCCACTAAGTGCTACGATTCAGCCTTCAAACTGGAGTCGACCACTCTGCCCCGTCACTCCGACCTGCTGCTGTTCTCTTTTTTTTTTTCAGGAGAAAACGTTTCAGTCAGCTTGCGTTCGGGAGGACACCAACAGGAATTGAACAAGTTTGTGCCTTCGTATTTGCGTTTCACCCTCACGGCAACCTGTGCGGGAGGACCCGTCACCGCCCTCCCAGGAGGTACAGGTGCAGGCAGGGGAAGCGACTTGTTTCATCAAGTGAATGCAAAGTAAAGAAAGAGTCTGCTCTTTGCATTTGAATGAAAATAGCTTTTGGGGGCCCTAAAAATTTATTATGCTCATTATAACAAAGGGAAGTGAAACAAAAGCACAAAGTAACCTGACATCCCAGCATCAGAGACGGCCGTGGCTAACACAGTGATGAACGTCCCCCCAGCCATCCTCCCTGCGCACGCGCCCAGTTTTACATGAAACGGTCAGCTGTGTGGGCTGCTTTGTCACCATTCGACTCTACAAAATGTAAGGTGAGCATCTTTCCATTTCTACACGGGTCTGCTTCATGCTTTGTAACGACGACCCAACAGTCCGCCGTCCGCAGGTGCCGTAGTTGATTTAAGCAAGTCCTTTGTGTCTCACAGCCGCTTATATTCCCATTGTCACGATACCCGAGATCGGGTATGAAGCATGAGGGCTGCACAAATCTGTTGACTCAATGTTAAGATTTGCTTCTTTCATTTCTTTCCTACAAGCATTCACTCATCCGAGGCTGGTGTCCTTTGTGTCCTTCCCCGCAGCCGTTCTGTCCCCAAGCCTTTCTTTCAGCCCTCCATTCACAGCCCGCCTGGGGGTGGGGGGGGCCACCTGTCAGGCGCCCGGCCTTTTCCATTCGGAGGCAGCGGCACGTTCGATTGTGGACAAGTCCCATCACACGAAATGTCAAGACGCCTGTGCACCGGCAGGCGCTGGAGCATGAACATCCTTTATTGAGGTTACAGGTGACCGTGCCTTATCTTTTCTTCCCTGGCGTAGGCTCCCGCGACAAGTCAGACTCCTCCACCAGCCGCAGCCCTGCAGAGAAGCCGTCCTGTTGTCTCAGGGTCCGTCTTGTCTGCGAGGTTAGAACATGTGTGCACCAGAGACACTTGAACAGCATCTGCTGTCGCCAGCGGGGCCAGCAGGGGATGGGCTCTAAGCGCCTGGACCCCCAAGAAGTGGCTCGGCTTCCAGACCTCCGCCTCTGTCCCGCTCTGCGGAGAGCGGGGTCTGGGGTGCTGGGGCAGCAGGCGGAGGATCATCTACGTCTACCGAAGAAAAGAAAGTACAGGAGGACTTTGGGGAAAGGGAGGCGAGGACGCATGTGTTCCCACGCGGCCAAGGACCCAGGGACACAGCCTGCTGAGGCAGGAGGGCCATCTGCAGGGGTGAGGGGCCAATGGGGTGCGGACAGGAGACAGGCAGCAAGGAGCGACATGACGTGGAGTCCTCGAAGTGTTTCCAGACCCAGAAATGCCCCTGGTGAGAGGGAGGTGCCAGGTGGCCTCGCCGTGGCACATCCTGTCCCATTGTCACCCTTGGCCACCTGGCAGAGCTGCAGCGGGAGGGTCTCCAGAGACCACAGGAATTCAACCAACTGGAGCGGGCAACCTGTGCTGCAGGCTGTTTACGAGGCTCCAGGCCGGTGGCCACCCAGCTGGCTGAAACTAGCCGGACACCCCCTGGCAGCCTGCAGATGAGCCCAGGTGACCTCTCCTCGTTACCACGCTCAGGTCTCCACCCGGTGGGGCTGGGAGGGCTATGGCTTCTTCACCATAACATGCGACACGTGTGCTGGCATGATGAACTCGCCACGCGTGCATAACAGGAACTGCCCCTACATGTCATGACATCTTTTTCTTTCTCTACTACCCCACAAAAACCCCACGCCACTTTCCCTCCAGGTGACACTGCTTTGGAGAATAGTCGCAGTGCTCTACTCACTTGCTGCAAGTAATTAAAACTCCTGCTGATCAAGCCCCGTGTTCTTGTGGGGAGTCATTTGTTACGCGCCATGTGAGCAGACCCCACTCTTTTGGGTCACAGGAGGAGGGAGAGAGCAGGATGGAGCCAGGTGGGGGGCACCCCAGGCCTCTCCTGCTTGGCCAGGGCCAGAGAGGAGCCGGGAACTGGGCGTGTGATCGTAAGTCTGCCTGAGACCCGCCTGGACTTTCAGATGCCTGAAAATGAGACTGCTCTTTCGACAGAAACAGGAGTCATGGGACCGGTCTGAGATGTCACGGGCAAGCCGGGGAGGCAGAGTGATGGGACCGTGTGAAGGCAATGGCAGAGGGAGGGAGGGAGGGAGGGAGGAAGCTGGTCCCTGTAATAAAAGGTGAAATAGAAGCTCCAGCCGAGCCCCCCGGAAGGGACCCGGCCAAGTGAGTCACCAGCCCTAGGTAGCTGGAGCGCTCCAGACCAGCCTAAGCCTCTCATCCAGATCGAGAGTGAAAAACGTCAGGGTGGAGACTAAGCAATCAGGGGAAGGATTTCTGAGAGAGAGCGTTTGATATGCTAGGAGACCCGCCTCTTTCCCCGAAGAGAAGAGGCGGCAGTTCCCCTCACTGGAACAGCCTTCAGAGGGACCCTCCGAGAGCCTGCTCTGTGTCCCTGCTGCATGGGCACAGGATGTCCCTCCAGGGAAATCTGGAAGGTTCTGACAGTCCCTCCAAGGGACAGTGGGAGGAACAGAAGCAGGGAGGAGAGAAGAAAGGGATCCCCCCCCCAGGAGTTGTCCAGACACGTGTGTGTGTGTGTGTGTGTGTGTGTGTGTGTGTGTGTGTGTCCCCAGGGACCAGAAGGGAGCCACATGGGAGAGGGAGCCAGCACAGGGTGTCCAGGTTTGTCCAAAGGGGCTTCATGGAGGAGCAAAGAGGTCTCGGCAAGGAGAAACTGGAAGTGCCCCTCCCCCGGATCCCCGGGGCTGCAGAGGGGCAAAT